TGTACAGCAGTTTGCAAGACTCGGGGACTCAGGGGAGGGATACAAACATGGCAAAATTGCCTTCTTCCTGTTGCTCTTCCTCTCCATGATGGAGCGTGAAGCCCGGCTGCGGTCAGTAGCTCCGGTATGGTTTGAGGGATGACCTTTACACAGTCATCGCTTCTGCAGATCACCTCGTGGTGACTCACCCAGAGGATGCAGGGCACGAGGCAGCATTCCTGATCTAAGGGTGAGGTGCACCATAATTCACCTCCCAGTTTGCATGTCTCTCAATCTGTAGATCGTAAAGATGATTGAGATGTGACAAGAGAGCTGGAGTGTGTTGGAGACGGCTGCCCAAACATTTGCCCGTAGTTAACTGAAGAGGATTTCCCCTTCAAACCAAGTTACTGGTTCCCCTTGACAGGATAGATTTGCTCAGGTTAGTCCAGGGGTAGGCAACCTTGGCTCTTTTAGGACTGGTGGACTTCAACTCCCAGAATTCCTGAGCCAGCCATGCTGAGGGGAAAGGGAGAGGTTTCCAAGCTGAGCCAGGCTGGCTCAGGAATTCTGGGAGTTGAAGTCCACGAGTCATGAGGGGGCCATAGTTCCCCCATGCTGGCTCAGGAATTCTGGGAATTGAAGTCCACGAGTCATAAAAGAGCCAAGGTTGCCTACCCCTGGGTTAGTCCAAGAACCCACCCCTGAATTCACAGCCCATGCTAATCCTCCCCCGTTTTAACCAGGATTAGGTTGAGCGTCTGATTTAGCAAAAGTGCACCAGTTCAGCCCAGTTTATATTGGGCAAACCCAGAAAATTATGTAACACAGGAACCAAGTTGGATGTGTTATAGGAACTTAACCTATGAATCAGAAATGAATATTGTACAATATTGTTGGGGGGGGGGAACTTGTATAGCTCATTTGCCAGAGGTACTTTCTACATGTAAGAAATCAGATTGGATGGCATGATCAGACTCTGTTTCTATGGTTCTCTTTAAAATGAGATGGAATCATTTTTGGTTCAATATATTGTAGGAACAAGTTCCCAGTACTGGTAGACCAAAATTGAGCCCAAAATTTATGTTGCTAAGTGAGAAATTTGTTCAGTTTTGCCTCATTGTACGATGTTTCTTGCCACATTTGTTAAGCGAATAACTGCTGTTGTTAAATTACTGACATGGTTGTTAAGTGAATCCGGCTTCCCCACTGAGTTAATAATATAATAATAATAAAGTTGGAAGGGACCTTGGAGGTCATCAAGTCCAACCCCCTGCTCAGTTAGGAAATCCTATACCATTTCGGACAAATGGCTGTCCAGTTTCTTCTTTAAAACTTCCAGTGTTGGAGCATTCACAGCTTCTGGAGGCAGGTTGTTCCACTGGTTAATTGTTCTAACTGTCAGGAAGTTTCTCCTTAGTTCTAGGTTGCTTCTCTCCTTGGTTAGTTTCTATCTGTTGCTTCTTGTCCTGCCTTCCGGCGCTTTGGAGAACAGCTTGACTCCCTCTTCTTTGGGGCAGCCCCTGAGAGATTGGAAGGCTGCTATCATGTGCCCCCTTGTCCTTCTCTTCATTAAACTAGACATTCCCAATTCCAGCAACCGTTCCTTACATGTTGTAGCCTCTAACCTGTAACTCTAATCATCTTTGTTGCTCTTCTCTGTACTCTTTCTAGAGTCTCAACATCTTTTTTACATTGTGGTGACCCAAACTGGATGCCGTATTCCAAGTGTGGCCTTACCAAGGCCTTGTAAAGTGGTATTAACACTTCACGTGATCTTGATTCTATCCCCGTTAATGCAGCCTAGCACTATGTTGGCTTTTTTGGCAGCTGCAGCACACGGCTAGCTCATATTTAAATGATTGTCCACTAGGACTCCAAGATCCCTTTCACAGTTACTACTATTGAGCAAGGTACCCCCATACTATACCTGTACATTTAGTTTTTCTTGCCTAATCTGTCAACTTTACCTGTCAGAGGGTCACAAAAGGCGATCACGTGACCCTGGGACACGGCAGCTGTCATAAATGTCAGTCACTTGTCAAGCAACCGGATGTAAATCACGTGACCATAGGGATGCTGCAATGGTCCTAAGTGTGAAAAATGATCCTAAGTCCTTTTTTTTCAGTGCCATTGTAACTTTGAATGATTACTAGGCAAACTGTTGTAAGTCAAGGACTACCTGTACTTAAGCCGGTTATGTTCTTTACCTGGGACGTGACACGTTCTGGGGACAGAGCCATTACATGTCGGCAACCTGGGTTTGGAAGTTAGGATATTGTATGAATCCAGCCATCAACTGAAGCCAGCAGGAGAAACCAGGCAGGGGCTGAAATGTGTGTTGTTGTTTTCCTTTTATCACGCACCACTTCCTGTTTGACTGTGTCATAGTCAGGCGGGATCCGAGTCCCAGATAGCATCAGAAGCAGGTCTGGTGTCCTAATAGAGGCCTCTTGCGAGCCAGTGATTCATCCTCTGGATCCACTTTGCTAGAAGACGCTCCCTGCCCTGAACGCAGGGAAGCAGATCTTTTTTTTTTCCCCCACACTGACTTCATCCTTCTCTGCCTTCAGCTGTTTTTCCTTTGGTGCCCAGGCAGTCTTTATACTCTTTTATATGGTGTTTGATGTGGAAATACTTCTGCTGTAAAGGATTCTAACACAAAAAGCCAGCATTTCCGTTGGTTTCCTTCTTCCCTCCCTTGCGGGTCCTACAGAGAAAAGTCATCTAAGCAGAAACGATCAAGTGTATTTATTGTGAGGACTCAAAACCAGCTTGCAAATCCACCGACACCTTAGTCAGTTACCTTGTGTTCATAAGCACCCATAAAACCTGGTATAGATACTCCTACCCTGCTTGTACGTACATTTAACCCAATCAGATTACAGTGAGGAGTTTGCATTCACAGGTTAAACTTGATTTGTGGTCCTCTTGGGAGTGCTTTTTATGGTTTTTGCATTTATTTTATGTAAAGCCACATAAATAGGTTTAGTCAATAACTGAGTTAGCAAAATGGTACACACACGACATATGAGAATCAATGCAGAAAGGATTAACCATCCTACAGTAACCATTACTGGCTGCTTAAAACACAGTGATGTGTTTTAAAGCTTCTGAACCAGCTTCTTAACTAATACACATTCTTTTAACAGGCCCACTGCCTTCCAAATGTATAAAATGAGCGAGGAGGATACAGAATTGAATACAGAATATCAGAATTGGAAGGAATCTCGGAGGGCCTACACAAATTCCAGACAAATGGCTGCCCAATTTCTTTTTGGACACCTCTAGTGATGGAGCACCTACAACTTCTGGAGAAAAAACCGTTCCACTGATTAATTGTTCTCACTGTCCGGAAATTCTTTCTTAATTCTAGGCTGGATCTCTTCTTGACCAGTTTCCATCTGTTGTTTCTCCTGCCTTCAGTTGCTTTGGAGAATAGCTTGACTCCCTCTTCTTTGGGGCAGCCCCTGAGATACTGGAACCCTGCTATCCTGTCCCCCCTCGTCCTTCTCTTCATTAAACTAGACATACCCAATTCCATCTTCGTATGTTTTAGCCTCCAGGCCCCTAATCATCTTTGTTGTTCTTCTCTGCACACTTTCCAGAGTCTCAGCATCTTTTTTTGTATCCTGGTGACCAGAACTGGACACCACATTCCAAGTGTGGTCTGACCAGTGCAGTATTAAAGCAATACTAGCACTTCTTGTGATCTTGAAACTGTCCCTCTCTTGATGCAGCTTAGGGCTGCGTTGGCTTTTTTGGCAGCTGCCGCACACGGCTGGCTCATACTACTGAAGCGGTTGTCCACTAGGACTCCCAGATCCCTCTCACAGTTACTACTGCTGAGTCAGGTATCGCTTTTTCTATACCTGTGCATTTAGTTTTTCTTGCCTTGGTGTAAAACCTGATTTTTCTCGCTACTGAATTGCATTTTGTTAGCTTAGGGGCCAGTGTTCAAGTCTTTCAACTTCTTTCTGAATTTTGAAGCCTATTTCTGAAGCGCTGACTGTTCTTAACAGCTCGGTGTCATCTGCAAATTTGATGAGTTCTCCTTCTACTCTCTCATCTAAATTGTTATCGAGGTGTTGAAGAATGCTGGGCCTAAGGCAGACTCCTGGGGTACACCACCGCATACTTCTCTCCATAAAGATGTAGTTCTGTTGAGGACTACACGCTGAATGTGGTTTGCCAGCCAGTTACAGATCCATCTGGCGGTGATGCTGTCTATCCCACATTTTTCTATATAATCAATAAGTAAGTAACTATTTTGTCACAATGGATTATAGTTATAAACTAAGCTATTTGGAATGCCTGAAATTAACTTTTCACTGATGGGCTTTTCAAGCTTGGTGGCTTTTGCTGTATTCCTAAAGGCTGATGTTAAACATGAATGAAAATGTTTTTTTTCTTTTGCTATAAAGTTTGCACTGCAATCAGCAAAATGTTCCATTTGTGATTTTCTCCAAGTATGTAATACAACTTCAGTTAACTGCTGATGACCATTGTTACAATTTCATTTTTTAAAATACTTTTGCCTCTAATTTTTTTCCACCTTCCATCTAAGCCACTTTTCCCTCTCGCTCTTCTTTCTAGGTTTATTCTGGACGTTAACTTTCCCTCTTCATGGAGGGCTTGTGGAAAATCACTCTAAACCTTTGGATGATTTAAATCAAGACATTAATTTCAGTGTTGCTAATCTCTACATTTCACAGATTTTTAGTATCTATGAATATTAACATCTGTGGAGAAGCAAGAAATGGGGATCGGAGCACTTTAAATTCAAATACCGTATTTTCCGGCGTATAAGGCGACTGGGCGTCTAAGATGACCCCCAACTTCGGCGCTGATTTCCATGCCTAGAAAGTCGTCTTATACGCCGGAAAATACGGGTACTTAATTGCAACTGATTTTGTAATGAGCTTATTTATTTAAATCTATATTTAGACTACTTTACTAATTTGGTGAATAAAGGACAATTTTAAAAAAGTAAAACTATGCCTACTTTTCTCTTTCTTTTATTTTGGAAAGTTGCACTTGTTGCAACTTCTTCTGATTCATTTTGAGGATTTGACTAGTGATTAAATGACCTCTCCTAGTCTTCAGCCAGTAAAATCAGTCCTGCACTGCAGAATGCTTGAGCCCAGGCCTGATATTGTGGTTGAGTACCTTGTCATTTTATTAAAGGGATTCTTCATTAATAATGTTCCCTACTGATACTCACACAAGGTCCATCATACGGCACTGGGAATCTTCTCTCTGGGTTTGATGGGTTTCTAAAGAGATTCAGAGCGTTGGTGGTTCACCCGTATCCTCTATTTTGTCTTGCTCGGCTTAGTTGCTCAGATGTTCTTTGAATGAGAGGCATTCTATAACTTTTGGCCAATTATTTAGCTCATAAACCAGAAATTGACTTTCTAAGCCAGATGTGGCTGTTGCCTTTGCTATATTTCTCCAGAGGCAAAAAGAGGGGGGGGGGAAATGGGGTTTTCTTGCCCTAAAGCCCCTTCAAACTGTTTTTCAAGGAAGCACTCACTGGTAAAATAACCTAAAGGGTTTTTATGCATCAGTGCAGCTGTTAAGGAGTTAAAAGCTCTAGCTTGGAAATGGACTGAAATCTCATCTCACGAAAGACTGATATTTTTTCAGATCTTATTAAACCTTTACAGCAGGCAGAAGATCACAGGTTGCAGAACATCTTGTTCTGTGCTAGTCTGTGAGCGTGCCAACTTCATGACATAGCAAACTGCCTTCAAAAGTAAAAATAATTTGAAAAAATGTTTTTCCCTTCCATTTTGCTATCAGTCCCAAACCTGATTCAATGAAAAGATTTCTGAGTCAGTAATGAGGTTAAAGACCAAAACAGAACAACTGTAACTGGTACTTCTAAGTATAGATGATACCCTAAAGATCTACTGTGTGCAGATGGTACACCCCAAAAGACAAATAGTCTTTTTCTGTGGTGTGCATGTACGTGTCTCTTTAGAGCAAAGCATGCACAAAAATGTTTCCAACAGTTATTTTTAAAATCAAATGGTAGGCCTTTCAAGCAGGTCCTTTCCTTGACCTCCTGGCTTTGTATCAACGAAAAGAAGCGCTCCATTCCATATTTACACTGTGGGAGGGAATTGCGAAGAAGAACTGTGCAATTTTTAACAATTCTGAATAGCATTCAATGGCTTTAGCCTTCAGGAAGTATTTGGTCCACTTCTGATGTGAAAGCAGATGCTGGAACTCTTCTTCATCGCTGGAAGCTTCCACAAATTTTTTCAAATTGTTGAACTGATCAAAGCACTTGATATCATCAACCTCTACACCCTTTTCAATTAAATAGGTTATACATGCTTCCACGTCACCCCAGCTTGGTGTCTCGCTTAGGGCCATCCAGGCGAAGCAGGAGAACTCCTGCAGAGACGCCATCCACATCTCCAGGTAGTCTATGCAGTTGCTGTAGAGGCGATGCACCGCATCGGAGAAGGCGTCGCATTCTGCCTCCAGCCCCTCCTTGCGCTTGTCCGCAAGCATCCCCTTCACCGTCAGGGACATGAAGTTTTGAGCTCTTCGGTCAAGCAGGATGGTGTGCACGGAGTCCAGCGTCCTCATCACTTCCACGATGGAGTTGTTTTCCCGTTCCATCTCTTCGATGTGTAAGTGGAAGGCGTTCATCAGCGAGTGCATGTGCCAAAGGTAGAGCTCGCTGAACTCGTGCTCAAAGAAGCTCCTGAGCACGGTGGGCGGGTTGCTCTGGCCCAAGAAGAAGGACTTCAAGGCCGAGTGCATCTGGAGCAGCTTTGTGATGCCCGGGAACAAGGACAGCCACCGGGTCTTGCTGTGGGAGAGCAGCCGTTTGTACTCCACCTCCACAAACTCACAGTACTCTTGCAGGGACTCGGTCCGCACTGCGTATATGTGGAAGTACTGGTAGATCTTCAGAACGATGTTCTCTATGTCCACCTCCAGGGCGTCTGCTCCGTGGTGGATGCAGTTGTGCAAAACGTGGGCCGGGCAGTACACCCCAATCAAAGTCTCTCTCTGGAGGGCTCTCCTCAACCTGGCGAACACAGTCCTCGCCTCCTCGTCTTGCCGAAGTTCACCAAACATGGTGTTGCAGTTGTCCCCTGCAAAGGCCACGCATTTCTGGAGCAATCCGTGTTTCTTAAGAGTTTTGACGAGGTAGTCCGAAATGGCGTCGGCCGTCTCGGTGGGCGTTTCCTGAAGTTCCAGCAGTTTGGTCTTCAAGCCGCCGTTCCTGTAGTCGTAATATTGGATGAGCACCGGGACCATTTTCACGGCCCGGTGATTGCTGTCGTCTATAGCCACCCCACAGAAAGGGATGCCGCTGTCTTCCAGGGCCTTCAGGTCAAGGCTGACTGCATGCTGGGCAAGCACCGAGTTCTCAAGAGCTTCTGTCCTGGTCCGGGTGTGGGAAAACTTTTGTGCTGTCTCTGCATCAGGGAATATTTTTCTCAACAACTCAGATGTACGCCCTGTTGTTTTGTAGCTGTTGCAGTTTGGGATAGTGTGCAAGGATAGAGTGCTGTCCGCTGCAGCAAGCGCATCCTCTGCTTTCGTGCCCGGAGTCACCAAAAATTCAGTCAGCTTTGCAGACCAACTGTCTCCTCCAAGGGCTTTTTTGTGCTTTTCAGAGGACATGTGATACTCCAGATCACTGGCACCTTTATGTGCCACGGACACAAATGTGCCAGCTTTGCAAACCAAGCACTCTGCTTCATAGTCGTCTCTACCTTTACGAAAATGAGGATATTTCTGCTTCAGTTTTTCAGTAAAGACACATTTCCGTTTAGGCATTTTCTGTTCTTCAGTGTGGCTCTGCGTCTGGGAATACTGCAGCAACAAAGTACAAGAACAGATTCAGGACAGGTAGATAAACTCTAAGCATTCAATCAATATATTCTATTTCATCTTCAATTATTTATTCCACACACATTATGTTAATAATTAGAAATAAATTATTTTTCTTACCAAAACTGGTAAAGGCTGAAGGATGCAGTTTATTCAAGTTTAAGTCTAGCGGTTGTCTTATTTTTCATATTCAATGTCCAGAGACATTCTTGAGACACTGTGCTCCTCAGCTTATTCTGATCAGTTTCGATTTTGAAGAAATGTCTTTTTGTTCTTGTTGCTGTCACCTAAATAGTTACAAACTGCAACAGAGCTTTCACATATCTAGGGGAATAGAAGACAGATATGGTTCTCTAGTAACAGGAAGTGTACCTTATTACTTTTTTTTTGGTGAATGGACCTCATTAGAGGTTGAGTCTAAAATAGTGTTAGATAGTTTCTGTCAAGCATATTTTAGGAATCCAACTATTGTCTTAACATTGTATTTATTATATGTGAACATAGTATGGGTTATGTTATCCCGGTTTAGAGTCAACTATGTTGCATAAAGCAAGGCAGTGTCCTACACTAGTTCAAGGAAAATTCACTTCTATAGGGAGTGTGATTATACATGCACAGTTGTGGATTGCCTTCTAAAGGGGGCTGTGGTTGTGTAAGGAGACTGCATTTGAGGCCTTTCTCAGATAACAAGCATGCATTCATCCCAGACTCATACCAACTTCTTCATAAAGAAAACCAAGTTAAGTGATAAGTCACATTAAACCAAAAGGGTGCTCAAATGTCTTCCCTACAATATTTGTATAAAATCATGAGTAACTCAGAAAAAGTACACAAGGAGATTCTCTAGACAGCACATCATTAATCTGTGGAATTCGTTGCCACAAAATGTGAAGCTGAATACATTAATGAAAGAGGGTCTATCAAGGACTATTGCAATTGAGGAGTGTTACTAAGAGATCCCAGGGTCATGAGAATAGTGGGGGGAGGGGAGGAAGGGACACCCCCCCCCCCAAGGCCATATGAAGAACCAAAACTGCCTTGGCCAATTCAGCACAGCAACTCCTGTGACTGGTAACCATGGAACCCTGGGAATAATCTGATGCCAGGTTAATCAAATGACACAAATATTGCTAAATGGTCCAGTTGTGTTCTCAGGTCACCCTTACTTGCTCCTCAACCCATCTTAAAATGTTCGTGGGGGGGGGAAAGAGGTTTCCTTGTGAGAAAAATCTTCCCTTTTCCTGCAACAGCTGTTTGGAATTGAAGTTAGGGAAAGCTGGGTCAAGCCCAGAGCTCAAGGTCCAGAAAATGCTGAATAAAGAGTCCCTGATAATTACACCAAATATTTTGGTTTTATAGAGCTAGGAGGAGTGGATTCTGCACCAGAACAGGAGCCACAAATACAGGCTTTTCTTCTGCTACTTCTGTTGGGCACCCCCCCCCCCAAAACGCCATCATCTTTTATTCCAGGGCAAAAGGTGAATTCCAGACATAATCAAACTGAGATTTTAGTTACTATATCTATGAGGCAGGGAAAAAAAACAGAAAAGCAAAGAAGGTGATGTCAGTGAAGAATATTTTGTTTGAATGGAGTGCAGGGAGCTTTCTCTTGCCCCGCTCTGAAAGTTAAATTTTTCAGCACAAATCTGCTCACATTAACAAATTCTGATCCGTTTGGCACCTCTGTGAACTTTTTCTTTGCTGTACTAGCAAGTGCATATATATTGGGCTATACATTTTATATCCTATCTGTTGAATCTTCCACTTGGTTTCCCTCGCTAAAGCATATGGTGGAACTGTTTCAATAAACACATCTTAAACTTAGCACTACCTAACTCTGGGATCTGGCTGGAAACTGACTTAAGATACTCTACCCAAAAACCACAGACCAGAACCAAGCCACCCACCCACTCTTACGCTAGATATCAAGATACCACCTTTTATTGCTAACATGGTTGTGGACACAAGCAGACACTGCACGTGCAGTCATGGAGAAAAACATTTAGTTAAACCCTGGACCTTTCTCAGTCAAATGCCTATTTTCCCAATGAATATGCCTGTGTGTGATCATTTTATTAGGATTTATTGTCTGCTTCTCTACCAAAAAATAAAAAAAAATAGTACTCAGAACTACTTAGTTAAAACTATCCAATGAAGCACAATATGCATTGTTTTTCTTAAAGTTTGTTCCACGCCTTCAACCCTTTCTTTTGAACTCTACCACACTCCTTCCAGCTTGTCCTCTTTTTTTTTTTTTTTTGGTTTTGGGGCTGAGTGGGTTCTTCCCTATTGATCCGCTGTACATCAAAGAGCTTTTGAGATGTTTTACAACAGTATTATTGCCTATACTCTCAATCAACAATAAATTAACGCGACAATGGGCAACCACATCAAACAGAAAAAAAAAAAAGATAAAGGGAAGGGAAGCCATATCTGGGTGCAAAGTCCAGACCATCGAACAATGATACAGGGCTGTCTGTATTCTGTTTGCTGGCCACTTAGCGGCTGGCTAGATTCTTGCAAGCTAGTTATGGCAGTCCCACACATCCAGGCACTCCGAAAGAGGGTGTCCCCCTAGCCGAACCCCTGCATTTGTTAACCTCACCTCACAGAAGGCAGGTACTCAGAGAAAGCTCCTGGAACTGAACTCTCACGCATCCACACATTCACACGCATAAGCCTGGATGGAGGAAAATTCCATGCAGCTCCGGGGAGGTGGTGGTGATGGGGGGTGGGGGGTGGAAGAGGGGAAGTAAAACAAGATCCGGCTGATGATTCGCCATCTTGCTGATCCTCCCACTCCAAGCCACCACAAATAGCTGCATGGTACAGAATGCAGTTGAAAGGAGGGTGGGGGGTGGGGAGCCACCACCTTGGAGTGAGTTTGCACAAGTATATTTATATAATCCTGCAGTTGCTGTTGTCAGAGCAGGTGAGATATTCTGTTTGGAAAACCAACATGCGCACATGAGTTTCTTTTCTGGATGCATGCCCTACAGCGAATCTGGAACTAATGGTGAGAGGTTGGGTTTCTAAGGCCCCCTAAATAAACAACAACAACAAAAAATATTGACTGTCTCCCTTTGCCCTTTTTCATTCTTACTTGGCTCAGTCTGCCAGATGCATTGCACAACAGGTTCCCATCCCCTTCAGTCTCAGAAACTGCACGCCCTACGTCAGCTAAGCACTGCCCTAAACCAGTGTTTCTCAACCTTGACCATTTTAAGGCATGTGGACTTCAACTCCCAGAATTCCACAGCCAGCATTGCTGGCGGTGGAATTCTGGGAGTTGAAGTCCACATGCCTTAAAATGGTCAAGGTTGAGAAACACTGCCCTAAACCCAGTCTGTACATTGCATTTAGGCATCTGACACCATATACATTTGTGCAGGCATGCTGATTTGTAAACCGCGATTTAAGGTTCATAGGAACATAATTTTACTATTTATTTAACAGACAAGGATAAAAACACTTGGTGGCTTAATTGGAAGTGTGATTCAGTATCTGAATTTAGATACCCTGGACGCCCCACTACGGTTCACTTGGTTTTAGTTCGGTATTTTGGAAGCTGTGGTTCCTGGCTGACTGTAGTATAATTTATAAAGGGAGGTGTGGCGAAATTTTGTGCAAACTCAGAATTGTCTGCAACTTCATCCCCCTAACGCCAGCCACTTTAATCTTCTGTAAGTTCTATCATCTCCAGTAACTTCCATCTGACACGGCTGCCCTAGCCTTCTTAGGACTCAGACAGCTAAAAAGGCAGAGCTTTTCATGACAGTGGAAAAGTACAAGTACTGAGTCATTTTTTTCTGCTGCTGTTTCTTCTGTCTCTTTGCAGCTACATTCCACCACCTCTGAGCTGCAATCGCTATGAAATATCAAGCTGGATAAAATAAGAAATGATAAAACTGAAGACGGAAAACATAAAACAGTAAAATCGTCATAGTGAGAAAAAATCATGGGTAAATCTAAAGTGAGATTTCTAAGGGAGGCCATTCCAGAAGATGGGAGTCCACCTCGGAAAACTCTCTCTCTTTTACCCTCCCAAATGGAGGGGACTAAAAGCATATCCGTGCAGAAACCAGTATTTGCAAACAGTGGTCTGAAAATCCTTCGGAGCCCAATCCAGGAGAGGCCCTAAAAGTAAAACAGCATTTTGAATTGAAGCCAGAAACTTACCGGCAGTCAAGGAAGCACTCACAGTTTGGGTGTCTGAAGCAGCTTCTCCCCGTCCACGTGAAGCAGCATTCGTCAAGTTTCTGTGTAATCTTCAGGGGCATCTCCATGTAAAGCACATGGCGGTGATCTGATCATAAGGCCCTGGTCCGGCTCCATATAAAGGTGCAACTGCTGCACCAGTTAGAGGGGCAAAGGACTCCAGCCATGGCCTCCACCATGCATCCAGCAGGATTCCCAGTCGGAGGACTTGCTGACAGTGGACTTCTCACCCAAAGTTAAGACTGGAGCACACAGATGGTCTCTAAACAAAATGTGCATCTGGTTAATATTTACCTTCAGCCTATTTCATCCCACCGAGACCTCAAGACACCAGATGAAGCCTTCTACAGTCTATCTGGAAACCGTAGAGGTAGAAATATTGCTACTGATGATAATAGCCTTCAAACCAAACAGCTATCCTGTTAAGTAGGGGTGAGAGTGCTCAATCTTGCAGGAGCCTCCCCCCCCAGGATAATCTCATCTCCCTCCCCATGGATACCCACTTACCACAGGCAAGAACAGACCTGCACTAAAGACCTAATCTCCAACTGTCATGTGAGAACCATAGGTGCATCATGGTGGATGGTGTCAAAAACTGTTCCAAAGTAGGACTTGGGAAAAATGTTATCAATGGTTAGAGACAGGTTAGAACTTGAAGGATTTAATATTTTAGAATAGATGCCTGATTTTTAATCGAGTTCTAAATAACATTTTGATGATAAGATTACTTTTCCTGGTTTACTGATTTTCATTTGTTACTTTTGATTGTTAGGATTTTTTTTTTTTTGAGATTTTATTAGTAGAGTTTACTTAATAGATCAATGTATTTGTTTACTAATTGCTTTTAATATGTTACAGTTTAAGCTTTGTTAAAAATGGTTGAATATATTTACTTATTATTATGATCCAGACGGTTGCTTGTTTGTTGAAATATGTGACTGTACCTATCCTTATTTTACCCTAATTCCTTATTTCCTTCCTCTCCCCCTTTCCTTTTACCCCTCCCTTTACCATACTTGTATTGTTCCTATTTTTCCTCACCTATATAAATTTAATAAAATTTTGTTTAAAAAAAAGTTCCAAAGTAGGGCTCCTCCACCCCCTTCTTGATCCCAATGAAGGTCATCCACCATCATTGGAGACGGAAGGAGGAATTGGAAGAACAATGAAGTGGATGAAGGAAAAGACATCAGTCTTCATAAGCCCCAGTATATTCCCTCAGTGCCATGGTATACAGGTAGTCCTCCACTTACGACCACAATTGAGCCCAACATTTATGTTGCTACGTGAGAAATTTGTTAAGCGAGTCTCGCCCCATTTTAGGACTTTTCCTGCCTCATTTGCTAAGTGAATCACTGAAGTTGTTAAATGAGTAACCCGGTTGTTAAGTGAATCTGGCTCCCCCATTGACTTGGCTTGTCAGAAAGTCACAAAAGGGGATCGCGTGACTCCGGGACACTGCAATGGTCATAAATGTGAGTCATCGGTCAAGCGTCCAAATGTACATCACGTGACCATGGGGATGCTACAACGGTCATAAGCGTGGGAAATGGTCCTAAAATGTTCAGGGCCGTTGTAACGTTGAACGGTCACTAAATGAACTGTTGTAAGTCGAGGACTACCTGTATAGGTCAGTGTTTCCCAAACTTGACAATTTTAAGGCATGTGGACTTCAACTCCCAGAATTCCACAGCCAGCAGTGCTGGCTGTGGAATTCTGGGAGTTGAAGTCCACATGCCTTAAAATTGTCAAGTTTGGGAAACACTGGTATAGGTCCTTCAAAAAGGCCTACACTTGAAACATCAGAGGCCTCAACCAGAGAAATAAGAATTTACCTCACCAAGAGAATGATATAATAATACTGTAAAGGTGCTTGTGAGAACCGGGGTGCCTTGACCCATAAAAAATATTGCCTAGAGAGACCTGGAAAAGTTGGAGCAGAGGGTTGGACTAGATGACCTCCAAGATCCCTTCCAACTCAAACAGGAGACCCTTTCTGGACACATGGCTGTCTCCAGTCTCTTCTTAAATCTCTTCCAGCCCTCCCCCTTTTTTTAAAAAATAACCTTTAGCTTATCCAGGTCAACTAAAGAACTTCCCTGCATTCGAAAATACAAATAAACCCAACAAAAATGGGCGGCCAGCCAGCAGGTTTTCCCCATGTTGTGTTCACACAACCAGTACATAATGGAAACTCGGGCCTATCGGGACTAACGGAGATATACCAACCCTGCCGAAATACGTAACAAAAATGTCTCCTCGCACATTGTGAAGAAAGCCATTTTCGTGCAAAAATCCCCTCAGAAAACCCCGAAAGGGAGCAGCAGGGAGTGGGAAAACAACATAGAAGAGCTTTTGCGCATGCGCGTTGCGGCCCTGCGGCATCCGGAACCTTCCCAGCTGCCTAGAACTGGTTTGAGCTGGCTAGAACCGGCCGCTCCTGCTCCCCCCTCCCTTCGCCTGGCAGAGCGGACGTTGCTGCGACATAATCGCCTCTCATCCCTCCCAGGTCTTTCGCTCACGGTATCCCTCCGCGCCGCGTCAGCTCCGCCCACCCTCCCTTTCTCTCAACGTTAACATGGCGCCCGTGCCGACAGTGCAGAAAATGGCCGCCGAGCTTCTTCGTCCGACTGAAAGGGGGGCTTTTGCTCCGCCCTTTTGGTTGCTCCCCCCCCATTCCCGGGTCGGATTTCTATCCTGATATTGCATTTAGATAAATGCGGTGCCTAATCAGGACTCAAACAGGCATTGGAGGACAAAGCAACTAAAAGAATTAAGGAAATGCAATTTCAGATGCATAGGATTTAATGTGCGGGGGGGGGGGAAGAGAGTGGGAGAGGACATGTAGGCTATATTTCCACAATGCAACGTGCTTTTACCTTATTAAGCATGCTTTGCAAACTCACAGGGAGGGCAGATGGTGGGTCAAATCCTGGTGAGGTCCTTGATTGACAATTCCCTGGCTGGTCTACCTTGCAGGGCTGATCTGGGGAGAAACATGGACACTGCAGTACAGCATTGTACCTCAAAAGAACAATGCCGTATAAACTCTGTTTTAAAATCAAAATAAAAGCTGACCTAAACCCCTACAGTGGCATTTGGGAACCAGCAGTAGTAGCCTTTTGCAACTTAAATTTGGGACACTTTCTGTAGCTAGGTTATAGAGAAATTATCGTATTCTAGCTTAGAAAACAAATACGTAATTTGCTCCAATCTTCCAGCAGACAAGGCCTCTCACAGTTTAGGTACAGGTAGTCCTTAACTTACAACCACAATTGAGCCCAAAATTTATTTTTACTAAGTGAGAAATTTGTTAAGTGAGTTTTACCTCATTTTATGACTTTGCTTGCCACATTTGTTAAGTTAGTAACACGGTTGTTAAGTGAATCTGGTTTCCCCATTGACTTTGCTTGTTGCAAAAGGGGCTCACATGACCCAGGGACACTGTGTGAGTCAGTTGTCAAGCATCATAAATGCGAGTCAGTTGTCAAGCATCCAAATGTAAATCAAGTGACCATGGGGATGTTGCAACGGTCATAAGTGTGAAAAACGGTCATAAGTCACTTTTTCAGTGCTGTTGTAACTTTGAATGGTCACTAAATGAGCTGTTGTTTTGCATTATAAATTGCATTATAAATTACCTACTGAGGCAGAATATAGGAACAATCTTGCATAATTTTTCCTAAATTGTTTTATATTGACAAGGTTCAGCAAATTATAGTGGGAGGGGGTAAACAGCACAAGGAATAATACGGAATTTTAACAATATTTTGGGGAACATATTAGTTGGGAGACGGAAATACGAATTAACCAACTAATCAACAAATCCTAGCAATAGAGAGCCTTTGTATACAAGGCACTATTTTCTCTGACGTAGGGGGTGGAAGGACCTGCAAATTCCAGGGTGTGAGATGTCCAGCTATAAATACTGGCTCGAGCCCGTCCGTTGTTAGAGCTGCAGGGAGGCTAAGATAGGGAGGGTGGATTTGCGGAAAGGATAACTAGATTTTTAAAAAGGAAATTAAACAGCCTAAAATTCTTAGACAAGGGATAGCTAAGGATATTTTTTAGCGAATGAAGAGGATTTTACTCAGTTGTAATATTAGAATTAACAGCTGTTTACTGCTTAAGAAGTACAGGCAGCCTAGGCGTTCTAATTTAAACCAGAAAATAAGATTGGAAAAAAATACCTTTAAAATATGAAGGACAAATTACTACAAAAGGGCTTTATTTATTTTTTAAAAATGCCCTCAAATCTGAACTCGAGAAAACTTGAAAAGATAAGAAAAACCTGCTCAAGACTTCGATGAAAGATCAAGAAAATGGAAGATAGAAAACAAAGATATAATGGAAGAGGATAGACATTTTAAAAAGCGCTTGAATGTTCAGATTAATTTGAAGATTAGCTTTAGCAGGAAAAGTAGCTTGAATGTGACCTCTGCTTCAAGCAGGTGATAAAGAAAGAACAAAACAAAAAAACCCCAAAGGGTTTTCTTTTTAAAAAAGAAGTGGCAACAAAGATACTCTTGATTTAAGAAAAAAAGCTTGAGTCTTGTTGCTGAAGTAGGAAAGCAAAGACAGAAGACTTCCACAGAAGCAAGGCTTAGAAGAGAGAAGGGTAGAAGGCAACTTAGAAGATGAAGAGAGAAGGAAAAGACGGGTGGGGAAAAAAGAAGCAAGGATTTCAGCTAACGAAGTAGAAAAATTAGCGAAGAGGAAGGCAAAAAAAGGACTTAAAGCATTATAAATCACCCAATACTTGGCTCAGCTCTGGTTTTAACTTTAGCTATGGCTGTGGCAATGGTGAGCCAAAAATGGCTTTAGAAGGGCGTTTGGTGCATTGGTTTCATTGCATTATGTTGCAATACGCTCAGGTGTGTATTGGTCAGGATGCTGTTAAAAGCAGTTGGAGAGAAGACGCCAAAAGACTTTCTTTTTTAAAAAAAAAAGCTGGCGTGAACGAAAAAGGTGGCCTTTGGTATCTTTGGAAGCTAGGAAGTCGGTAGACACCCCCCCCAACCAGGAGCCAATCCATTGGTGAAGCAGGAAAGGGGAAAAAAAGCAGGAAAAAAAAGCAAGTAGAAGAGGTCCTGGGAAGATGACCCTTAGATGCTTCTAGGACAACCAAGAATCCTTTGTAGGGGAGCCATGAAGAGGGAAAGAAAGAAAGACGACCATAAAAGTCCGCCTGTAGTTGGTAACCGTCTCATTCTCTTCTGGCGACGTCGTCTTTATTTTAGGGCTGCGCTGCTGGTAACTGGGTTTGTTCTTAGAGGCTGTGGGGGAGGGATGTTGGTCTCTCTCTTTACAGGTGTGCTTAGTCGAGTCGGCTGTTTGCTGGGAAGCTAATGGGCAGTCTTCGCAAGCCAACCAGTCAGCGGTTCCTGTGGTTAAAAGTAGCCATTTTTTCCCCTGTTTGCTCTTTCTCCCCCCCTCCTCCCCCAAGAAAAGAGTAGCTAGCATCCAGTGAGGCTGTGTAAATCCTCCCCAGAAAGGGTGAGTTGAAATCCTGGTGGGAGCGACAGCATTGCAAGGTAGCGGTATTAAAAAAAAAAAAAGGGTGAGAATTGTGTTTGATTTGTGATTGTAGCCATTTTGCGGGTGGGGAGCTGTGCTGGGTGGAGGGGGGCGGGCATTGTTGCAATGTTGTTGAGATTTTGTCCCTTCAGGTGTATGTAGAGCCAGAGGGATCCACCCAAGTTCCGGTGTGTTTCATAAGGAAA